GGCCTGGGATCCAACTCCCACTCACTAGCCCTGTAACATAGGTGGCTCCTGTCTGGTCCTGACATTGTCATGGCCCCATTCTCCTCTAGGAGTTGCAGGTTGGACACTGAGCAAGGGTCTGGGCTGGTGATGGGTGCACGGCAGATGCTCAACTGCTATTACAGCAGTTATTAATTCCCAAAGCTTTGGGGGCTGTGTTCTAGGGTCTGGCAAAGTGTGTCAGGCCCACCCAGCTTGGAAAGAGGAGGCACCCATTCTGCCTGCACAATGGAGCTGCAGCAAAGCAAGCTGCAAGGGCAGAGGCTCGCAGATGCAGGAAGATACCTAACTAGATTAGTTGGGTATTTCTATCTTCAGGAACTTTATCTGTAATGTGTTTTCTGTTTCATGCTGTTACTCGTTTTTCACTTTGGGACCTATGTAGGGTCTCTGTTGAAGGGAGGAAGGAAACTGCTAGTGCACATAAGTTAAACAGAACCTTTTCCTGCACCCCAGGGTGGTCAGAGGGAAGAGAGACACAGAAAGTGAGTGGGTGGGAGTAAGCAAGGCACAGAGCCAGCATCAGCCTCTCCCATGATTGTCCTCTTCCCCTTCAGCCAGGAAATAGGCACAAGGGGAAAGACTCCAAATCTTTATAAAAGGCAACTAGATGCTGCCAAGGAGCCACCCTCCCAGCTCAGGCTAGAACCACCTGCTCCCCAGGACTCACAAAACCTGATATTCCGCCTTCACAGAGCTGCTCCGTCCAGCTGAGCCATTATCTCATAATGGTCAGGTTGCCCTTGTTCACTAACTTCACAGACCCCCAAATACTATAAATAACAAACAACTATTTCCATGCTTTAACTTCTTTTTTATCCTTTTCAATGCACAAAGATCTATTCCTGCATGTTTATATGAGTGTGTGGATCCTTCTCTGGAACGCATTTTCATCTAACACTATTCCAAACATGCAGGAAGGAACTTGGGAGATTATCTGGCCTTTTACTCGAAGAGCAGTGTGACCCAATGATTAGAATGTGGGGTTTGGAGGTAGACAGATGTGGATTCAGATCCCAGATAGGCAAGCTGTGTCCCCTTTGATAAGCCATTTGACTTCTCCAGGCCTCAATTTCTGCACCCATTGGATAGGGATAACTGTGCTTCTCTCACCAGGCTAGAAAAAGGATGAAGGAGGATAGGTAGTATGTGCAACAGTCTCTAGCCAAGTATCCTGCACAAGTAATTGCTCAGTTACTGTCATGTAGTCCTTCTTACTAAGATACGTAGCAGGCTCAGAAAGTTTCCCTGTTTAGGATGACATTTGAATAAGCTGTCCTTTGCTATTTAGCAAATTACCTAAAGTACCCTAAACATAGTGGTTTAAGTAAACACACCTTTATTATCTCACATTTTTTTCTGTGGGTCAGGAATCTGAGCATAGCTTACCTGAGTCTTCTGCTTCAGGGTCTCTCAAAGGCTGCCATCAAGGTGTGAACCAGCGCTGAGGTCTCATCTGAATACTCCACTGAAGAAGGACTCACTTTGAAGTTCAGGTGGTTGTTGGCAAGATCAATGGCTCAAGGGCTGCTGGTCAGAGCCTCAGTTCTTGCTGGATGTTCCCTGGAGGCTGCCCTCTGTTCCTGGCATGTGGGCCTCTCAGACATGGCAGCTGGCTTCATCAAAGCATGCAAGCCAAGAAAGCAATAGAGTTAACTAGCTAGACAGCAGTCACAATCTTACGTAACTGAATCACAGAAGTGACATCTCAGCACCTTTGCCATATTCTGTTGGTTAGAAGCAAGTCTCTAAGCCAGTTCACACTCTATTGGAAGAAAAGAATTATCAGGAGGCAGGAATCTTTAAGGGTCATTTTAAAGTCTGCCTGGCACAGCACAGTCAAGTTCAACTAGTATTTTCTGGTGCCTTTTATGTGCCAGGCACTGTCCTGGATCTGGAAATAAAAAACTAGATTAGTTGGGTATTTCTATCTTCAGGAACTTTATCTGTAATGTGTTTTCTGTTTCATGCTGTTACTCGTTTTTCACTTTGGGACCTATGAGGGCACACAGGTATAAGTTTTTGTCCCAGAGCAGCCAGATATGGATCCCTGCTTTCCACAAGCAGCCAGAATCCCAGTCTCCCCAGGAACTCTGCCTGTTTTACCTTTCCAACCCGGTAGTCATGCGAGTCTCATGAAAGCACCATGAAATGTAGGTTTGTGCTCCCAGCGCAGATCTCCAGAGCTAGGTATTCAGCAGTCCCAAGCCTTCCACTCCCTCCCTGCTCCGTTTGTCTTCCTCCCTCCGTGAGCTGGGGTAGGGGAGGGGCTCAGGTCCCGCGGAGCCACAGCTCTGGTACAATACCCCGTTCGGAGAGGTCTGCTCTTTCCTCCAGGTGTGTGCAGTCTGATGCCATCCTCTTTCCTGTTACTCTCTCAGGATTAGTTGCACCAATTAAATTTTCTAATTGTATCCAGTTTTAGGAGGCAGCCTCTGTCTCTCCTCTCACGCCATCATCTTCAATCTTGCAAATGGGCCTGAATTGTATTTTTAAAGGTTCAGCATATATTTAAAAATTAGCAACTGACATTTTTTGAGCACCTACTCTAAACCAGGCCTTTTGGCATTTTGACTGCACAATCACCTTTCATCCTTAAAACCACCCTACAAAGCAGTAGGCCTGACTCCCTTGCCCTTGTTCCAAGGGAGGAGACAGAGGTTCAGAGGAGTGAAGTGATGTGTCCAGGGTCACAGAGCTGGTAAATGCAAACATAACACTTGAGCCAGTCTGTCCTACTCTAGAGCTGTAAGATTTTACTCAGATCCAGGAGCTTGGAGGCCTGGGATCCAACTCCCACTCACTAGCCCTGTAACATAGGTGGCTCCTGTCTGGTCCTGACATTGTCATGGCCCCATTCTCCTCTAGGAGTTGCAGGTTGGACACTGAGCAAGGGTCTGGGCTGGTGATGGGTGCACGGCAGATGCTCAACTGCTATTACAGCAGTTATTAATTCCCAAAGCTTTGGGGGCTGTGTTCTAGGGTCTGGCAAAGTGTGTCAGGCCCACCCAGCTTGGAAAGAGGAGGCACCCATTCTGCCTGCACAATGGAGCTGCAGCAAAGCAAGCTGCAAGGGCAGAGGCTCGCAGATGCAGGAAGATACCTAACTAGATTAGTTGGGTATTTCTATCTTCAGGAACTTTATCTGTAATGTGTTTTCTGTTTCATGCTGTTACTCGTTTTTCACTTTGGGACCTATGTAGGGTCTCTGTTGAAGGGAGGAAGGAAACTGCTAGTGCACATAAGTTAAACAGAACCTTTTCCTGCACCCCAGGGTGGTCAGAGGGAAGAGAGACACAGAAAGTGAGTGGTATTTGCTAAATAGTGATCATTGTGCCAGTGTTGTGACCAACACCACCAGACCCTGCCCTAGGGAAGCATACTGGGTGTTGGGGAGTGGACAGTAAACTCACAAGTTCAGCCAGGAGTGGGGCATGCCACAGTGGAGGACAGATCACAGTGGAGGACAGACCTACAGGGGGCATTTGCATATCAGGTCTCCTTAAAGCAAAAAGTTATAGCCAAAGACTGAAAAGCTGAAATCAAAGCTTGCTTACAAGGGTTAGTGGCTTGATTTCAGAACAGCAGTTTCCCTTCCCCAACACAACCCCTCTTCTTCCACTCTGACCTCCACCTCATGGATGCCAGGAAGGCTTGTTACAGGGAGGTAATAAACACACTTTTATTACCTTCTTGAAAAAGTACTGCTCTTCTTTAGCGGACTCTCATCTTCCCTGACTAATCATGGGGATCTGGTAGGAGCTGCCAGTCACAGACTACAGCTCTTCTTGGCCAAGAGGATGGACTTAGTACCCAAGCTGGATCAATCTCCCATTCCCTGGCCCATTAAACATGTGACCCAAGCCAAGTCAAGGGTTTGATGCCCTTCCCTGGGATTTTTTTCTGGGTGAAGCTGGCAAAGAAGAGATCCTTTACCCAGTTGGTCAGGAAGCAGCTGGTGGTAATTGTATTTTCAGCATATAGAAAAAAATATATATATGGAGCCAAACATACTCAGAAACAAGACAAAGAAAGAGAGAAAGATCTAACAGCATCAAATCCCTGGTTCCCATCTTCCCTCAGGCAAGCTCTACTCTTGCCCTTCCCGGACAGATAAACCAATACATTTTTTTATTTACTTGAAATAATTCAAACTGGGTTTCTGTTACTTGCCAGCCATAGGGTCCTGAACTACAAGTCTATCATTCCCCTTGGAGTTCAAACTAAAGCTGCAAACCTTCCTGGAAGAAGTGATCCAGAGGTCCAAATCCCTACTAACATAAAAACCTAATGTCAGATCCTTTTTTGAGAGCAGGCTGTGATTATGGGTTCATTTGAAAATACACAGGCCATCATAAGGCTAAAGTCCAGACAGTAAAGACTTCCTCCACCATGATCACAAGTAAAAAGAGCTTGTAATTCAGATTCAGAAAACCTGGATTTGAATACTAGCTCTACCACTAACTGGTAACCTAGTGGTAGTTAAATACTAGTAAAGGGACAGAGTTAAATACTAGTAAAGGGAAGATGGAAGCAGAGAGCAGTGGGATAGAAGGGAGGAGTCAGGGAAGGAGGAAGGGTGAAAAAAAGAAAGGAAAAAGGAAGAAAGTAGGTGGGGGCGGTGGGGAAGGCCGAGCGAGGGAGAGAAGAGGGAGGGAAGAGAGGGAGAGAGGAAGAAAGGAAGAGATGGAGAGGGAAGAAAGCCAGCAAGAGAGAAAGGACACTGAGCTGTGNAACTAGATTAGTTGGGTATTTCTATCTTCAGGAACTTTATCTGTAATGTGTTTTCTGTTTCATGCTGTTACTCGTTTTTCACTTTGGGACCTATGTAGGGTCTCTGTTGAAGGGAGGAAGGAAACTGCTAGTGCACATAAGTTAAACAGAACCTTTTCCTGCACCCCAGGGTGGTCAGAGGGAAGAGAGACACAGAAAGTGAGTGGCATTTGCTAAATAGTGATCATTGTGCCAGTGTTGTGACCAACACCACCAGACCCTGCCCTAGGGAAGCATACTGGGTGTTGGGGAGTGGACAGTAAACTCACAAGTTCAGCCAGGAGTGGGGCATGCCACAGTGGAGGACAGATCACAGTGGAGGACAGACCTACAGGGGGCATTTGCATATCAGGTCTCCTTAAAGCAAAAAGTTATAGCCAAAGACTGAAAAGCTGAAATCAAAGCTTGCTTACAAGGGTTAGTGGCTTGATTTCAGAACAGCAGTTTCCCTTCCCCAACACAACCCCTCTTCTTCCACTCTGACCTCCACCTCATGGATGCCAGGAAGGCTTGTTACAGGGAGGTAATAAACACACTTTTATTACCTTCTTGAAAAAGTACTACTCTTCTTTAGCGGACTCTCATCTTCCCTGACTAATCATGGGGATCTGGTAGGAGCTGCCAGTCACAGACTACAGCTCTTCTTGGCCAAGAGGATGGACTTAGTACCCAAGCTGGATCAATCTCCCATTCCCTGGCCCATTAAACATGTGACCCAAGCCAAGTCAAGGGTTTGATGCCCTTCCCTGGGATTTTTTTCTGGGTGAAGCTGGCAAAGAAGAGATCCTTTACCCAGTTGGTCAGGAAGCAGCTGGTGGTAATTGTATTTTCAGCATATAGAAAAAAATATATATATGGAGCCAAACATACTCAGAAACAAGACAAAGAAAGAGAGAAAGATCTAACAGCATCAAATCCCTGGTTCCCATCTTCCCTCAGGCAAGCTCTACTCTTGCCCTTCCCGGACAGATAAACCAATACATTTTTTTATTTACTTGAAATAATTCAAACTGGGTTTCTGTTACTTGCCAGCCATAGGGTCCTGAACTACAAGTCTATCATTCCCCTTGGAGTTCAAACTAAAGCTGCAAACCTTCCTGGAAGAAGTGATCCAGAGGTCCAAATCCCTACTAACATAAAAACCTAATGTCAGATCCTTTTTTGAGAGCAGGCTGTGATTATGGGTTTATTTGAAAATACACAGGCCATCATAAGGCTAAAGTCCAGACAGTAAAGACTTCCTCCACCATGATCACAAGTAAAAAGAGCTTGTAATTCAGATTCAGAAAACCTGGATTTGAATACTAGCTCTACCACTAACTGGTAACCTAGTGGTAGTTAAATACTAGTAAAGGGACAGAGTTAAATACTAGTAAAGGGAAGATGGAAGCAGAGAGCAGTGGGATAGAAGGGAGGAGTCAGGGAAGGAGGAAGGGTGAAAAAAAGAAAGGAAAAAGGAAGAAAGTAGGTGGGGGCGGTGGGGAAGGCCGAGCGAGGGAGAGAAGAGGGAGGGAAGAGAGGGAGAGAGGAAGAAAGGAAGAGATGGAGAGGGAAGAAAGCCAGCAAGAGAGAAAGGACACTGAGCTGTGGGCCCCGGACTCGGGCCCCGGACTCCGTCCCCGGCCCGTAGGCTGCAGTGCCACCTCCAGCCGCCAGGAGCCGCCACGCACAGCCAGCAGCATCCCGCGCGCGCAGTGGGCCCTCTCTCCCGCCTCCGCGCCGGCCGCTCGCCGACTAGCCGCCTCTCTAGGCCGCAGCCGGATCTCGCTCGCGGTCTTCTCGTGAGGGGCTCCGCGCCGCCCGGCGCACGCCGCCCCCCTGCCTCGCGGCGCGGGGTCTCGTGGGCCCCGCTCCCGCCCTCCGCTCGCCTGGCCCGGACCGGAAGCGGCGCCGCACGGCCTGGGCCTGGCGCGGGGGGCGGGCACCGGGGCCCGGTCGGACATGGGCAAGAAGCACA